CATGGAAGAAGTGAGTGCTGAAGAAGAATAGTTCCATAATGGACCAGGGAGCAGGACTGGTGAGGGCCCGAGGGCTGACGAGGAGACAGAAAATGAAGGGGAAGGCCCGTGCTTCGCTGCAGACAGCAGAGGTTTTGGGAGTCTGTCACGGGCCACCCCTCTCCCTCTCTATTTCCCTGCAGGATTTTGACATTGCTGGCCAGTTCGACCCCATGATTCCTGACGCAGAGTGCCTGAAGATCATGTGTGAGATCCTGAGTTCACTTCAGATAGGCAACTTCCTGGTCAAGGTCAGAGCTGGGTGGGACTGGGAGGTCAAGGTAGGGCCTGGCCTCTCACAGGGAGAAGTCCTTGTGCAGAGGGATCAGTAGCCCATGTGATAGAGACGACTGGGAATTGTGTAAAATAAGCAGAAAACAAGCAGCTTCCTTCTTCCCTATACCTTGCTCCTCACAGGTAAATGATAGGCGCATCCTAGATGGGATGTTTGCTATCTGTGGTGTTCCTGACAGCAAGTTCCGTACCATCTGCTCCTCAGTGGACAAACTAGATAAGGTAATAACCCAGACACCTGATTCTTTCTAGATCCTACCTGTTTTAAGCAGTGAGAAAGTTTAGGAGCAAGAGGTAGCTGCCTCTGTGCCCACTGGAGGAGTTCTGGCCCCAGCATGTAGGTCGAAGGGTCCACACTTGTCCTGTGGTAGGGAAGCTGTGTAGTGGCCTCTGACTGTTGTTGTCTGCCCAGGTATCCTGGGAGGAAGTGAAGAATGAGATGGTGGGAGAGAAGGGCCTTGCACCGGAAGTGGCTGATCGCATTGGGGACTATGTCCAGCAGCATGGTGAGAAAAGAACCCAGCAGCCTTATCACTGCCCTCAGTCCTGAAATTGAAGTGTGTGTGTGTGTGTGTGTGTGTGTGTGTGTGTGCGTGCATGTGTGTGCGTGTGTGAAGCAGGAGCGTTCATGTGTACATGTCCTGCAGCCCAGACTAAAGGCAGACCTACCGTTTTTTTCTTGTCGGCCTAACCTACAAATTCGTTTCCTCAGGTGGGGTGTCTCTGGTGGAGCAGTTACTCCAGGATCCTAAACTCTCCCAAAACAAACAGGCCTTGGAGGGCTTGGGAGACCTAAAGCTGCTGTTTGAATATCTGACCCTGTTTGGCATTGATGACAAGGTAAGTCAAGTTGGAGAGAGGAGCCTTGGCTGACCGCTGTGGCTTGGGGTCCCTGATCCTAACCTGCTGCTGACCTTGACCTTGCCTCCACAGATCTCCTTTGACCTGAGCCTTGCTCGAGGCCTGGACTACTACACTGGGGTCATCTATGAGGCAGTGCTGCTACAGATGCCAACCCAGGCTGGGGAGGAGCCCCTGGGGGTGGGCAGTGTAGCTGCTGGAGGGCGCTATGATGGGCTGGTAGGCATGTTTGACCCCAAAGGGCGCAAGGTGCCGTGCGTCGGGCTCAGTATTGGAGTAGAACGGATCTTCTCCATTGTGGAGCAAAGGTTAGAGGTAAGTCTTGGGGTTGGTAGAACACAGAAGGGCAGGTGTACCCAAGCTACCTTGGATCTCTTAGGGACAGGTGCTGCTTTGGACAGAAGAGATGGTTGTTAGCCTTTAGAGTCTCAATCCTTTATAGGCCAGTTTTGTGTCTGTCTATCTGTCTGTTTTATGATACTGGAAATTGGACCTGGGCCCTGTGCATGCTAGGCAAGCACTGTTGTTACCACTATATGCTATTTTTCACTTAATTTGAGACAGGGTCTCACTAAGTTGTCCAGGGTGGCTTTGAACTCAATGTGTAGCCAGGAGGGCCTTGAATCCTCCTGGCTTAGCCTCTGATTAGCTGGGCTAGGTTGAGCCATGAGGCCTGGCTTGTAGGATAGTTTTGTAGCTCTTTATTCTTTCTCCACTGGATCAGAGCTCTCAAGAATCTAGGCTGGTGTATCTAAGATGCACATCTTCCTTGGGGCAGACTACTTAAGGTCGACCAGGCTCACATGCTTGGTGCATTTTCAGCTAATGTAGTTCTGACACAAAACAACTGAACTTAGAGTAGCCCAGTTTGTTATTTTTGTTTCTCAGATAAGGAAGCTAAATATTAACGATCAGATAATTTGCTCAAGATCATGACACTTGTAAGTAGAAGAGTCAGAGTGTGAATCCAGATAGTCAAAACTCCTAAGTCTTACTGTTAGCCACTCTAATGCTGCCTCTCAGTGGAAAACATGTCTAAGGCCCTGGGCTTGCTCCAGTGGCTGCTCTGACTCCCTAGGACTTAGAGTAACACCAAGGAAGCTCCCCTTTGTTGCTGGTACTCCTTTTGTTTCTTTGTTTGTTTGTTTTTGTTTTTGAGACAGGGTCTCTCTGTAGCTTTGGAGCCTGTCTTGGAACTGGAACTCACTCTGTAGACCAGGCTGGCCTCGAACTCACAGAGATCCGCCTGTCTCTCCCTCCCGAGTGCTGGGATGAAAGGTGTGCGCCACCCCCACTCACCCACCCACCCCACCCCTACCCCCAGCTTTTGTTGGTACTCTTAAATGGCTCATTGCATTTGATTTTCAGGAATGTTCTAGCAACTTTCCCACTATCCCTTTTTTTTTTCTCTAGGATGACACACACCACCTATGTTTCCCATTTGAGTTCATTATTCTAGTAGGCATCTGATGTTGTAACTCTGAAAATAATTTTCCAGAAAAAGTCGAGGGGCAATAGCAGCCTTCCTCCTTGTTCCTGCGTCCACATATACCTAGTCTCACAGAAGGTGAAGACTGGATGCCAGTGGTGGTTTGAGGTGGTCTCCTAGTACTCCTTCTTTGTGATTGTGCTGTGGCCCTAACCTAGAGAGAAGGGAGTTTGAACTTTACTGTACTGTTACCCTGGGGTAGTTCTTTTTTTGGTGTTGTGTTTTGTTCTGTAAATTTTTTTATTTTTATGGGTGTATGTTTGTGCCTGGTGCCCACGGAGGCCAGAAGGAGGCATCAGATGCTCTGGGGCTGGAATTACAAACGGCTCTAAGCTGCCATGTGGGTGTTGGAAATCGAACCCGGGTCCTCTGGCAGAGCAGTCAGTGCTCTTAACTGCTGAGCCGTCTCTCCAGACCCCTTATTTGTTTCCTTGGTGCTTTGTGTTTGGGTTGGTTGGTTTGTTGGTTGGGTTTGGGGGTGTTTTTTATTTGTTTTTGTTTTGTTTTTTGAGACACACTAGCTTCAAACTCACATATTCTGTCATACAAGTCAGTTCATTTCGTACACCTTCTAAGAACTACTTTATGTCCTACTAGTAGATGAGAAGGCTGGGACCTTTCCCTACTGGAGCCCACAGAGTTGGACCTCGTCTCTCAGGATCCCAACCACAGCCTTCCCGTTGCTCCTTGATGACTTAGTCCCACTCTGACTCTTGCCTGCCTCTCCCTAGGCTTTAGAGGAAAAGGTACGGACCACGGAGACACAGGTGCTTGTGGCATCTGCACAGAAGAAGCTGCTGGAGGAGAGACTGAAGCTTGTCTCAGAGTTATGGGATGCTGGGATCAAGGTACAGGAGGCAGTCCCCAGGGGGGTAGCAGACTTGGGAGTACTAGGCACAAACTAACAGAGGTTTACATACTGCCTCCCCCTTACTTCTTGAGATGCAGCAGAGAACAAGGTACCTGCTGCACCCCACCCCCACCCCCAAAGTTCCTCCCCGAGAACAACAGAAGCTTAGTTTTCTTCTTTGGTCATGTGCAGGCTGAGCTGCTCTACAAGAAGAACCCGAAGTTACTGAACCAGCTGCAGTACTGTGAGGAAGCAGGCATCCCACTGGTAGCCATCATTGGCGAGCAGGAGCTCAAGGATGGTGTCGTCAAGCTCCGTTCAGTGACTAGCAGAGAAGAGGTAAGGGGCAAGCAGGAAGGCTGACGAACAAGGGGCATCAGCTGCCTGTTGGAGACCTGAGCCCCATAGAGCACTAACTTCTGAAGAACCTGGGGGCTTAGACTTTAACTGCAATCGTGACGTTTCAGGTCCCCAGCAGCCACCTGCACGTGTTTTCCTAGGGGCATTATCCACCCTGGGCTGTCTAACTGGGTACATGTCCCAGTGAGCCAAACCTGGTACTAGAAGTAGGCGCTCAGTGAATAGCTGAACCGAAGATGCTCATACCTTCTTCCTCCTTCCTGGCCAGGTGGATGTCCGAAGAGAAGACCTTGTGGAGGAGATCAGAAGAAGAACAGATCAGCCCCTCTCCATCTGCTGAATCCGAACAAAGTGGCAGAGGAATCAGAATTGACCTTATTTGAACTGAAACAAAACTGCATATGTACTTAAACAGTTTGCGTATTTCTGACCCAGCAGAAGACTGAAGGGTGGTCAAAATTGTGGCTTTTTTGTTTTTATCGTTACCTTATTATTGGTAATCACTGGCAAAAAAAAAAAATGGCCAAGAATTACCCTTTCCTTGTCGGGGATGGAGAGGAGCAGTACAGGTGGACTCATCAGGACTCTGCCTCCTAAACTCCTGTGTGGACCTGAGGTGGCTTCACCGCAGAGCCCCACACCAGATGCGACCCTACAACCTACCGCCAAAAAGTTCAATAAATGTCTCCAACCGCTAACGCCTGTCTGTGTCCATAATGCCTAACGTTACCTTCCGCCTCGGGTCCTGAACCATTCAAGCTGCTTTAGCGACTGGTGTGATGGCGAGGAGGCCTTCCCAAACCCACTGGTTAAAGGACACCCTGTGGGCCCGGTGCCCACCCTGCCCCTACTCGGCCCCACCCCCCACCTCAGCGATGGAGCTCCTCCCACACACGTCCCAAGAGAGTTGATTTCCAGGGGCTAGCGCGCCTCCAAGCGTTCGCGCACGTGCAATGGATGCCTCCTTGAGAGGCGGGGTCGCCCTCGGAGCCAATGAGAGCTCGAGGGGGCGTGGAAGGCAGGGAATCTTCCAGAGGCAGAGAAGCCCAAGGGACGTTCTAAAGAAGGTACTGGCAGGCAGACCTAGGAGAGGGCTATGCAGTCTAAAAGGGAGTGCGAGGTAAGTAATTAAAGACCCAAGGGGTCCTTGGGCCCCGCCTACATAAGGAGCGGTTACAGGGATCCCAATACCCAAGCGAGGTGGTACTGGGCCGGTGATGCGCCATTCCAACCTACCCTCTTTCCTCCAGCAATGGTGTGAACGGGTGAATCCAGAGAACAAGGCAGCCCTGGAGGCGTGGGTAAGGGAGACTGGCATCCGCCTGGTACAGGTCAACGGGCAAAGGAAGTATGGCGGGCCACCCCCAGGTATGGTAGCCCCACCCCGTGGGGCACTACACGGCCTCGGCCACTCTTGTAGGAAGGGCCTGTCCCCTAGGCTCCCAAGTCAGGAAACCCAAACGACCTGACATAGCCTGTTAGGTGCGGATATTTGTCTGGCCCCCCTTCTACTCTCCTCGTCGAGGAGAGTACGCCCACCCACTCAGTGCCAGCCTAGTTGTTTACGCCGTCCAGTCGCCCAATTCTGCTAACGACCGGGAGCCAGCAGGGTGTCAGTATTTCTAGACGGTCTTCCTCCTGGCTCCCCCCGACACCCCAGCTGTTTCCTGGGGCTTAGAAGTTGAACCATCCCATTTGACGACACTACCCCCCACCTGCATATCCTCTCCCTCCAGGCTGGGTGGGCAGCCCGCCACCTTCGGGCTCCGAGGTGTTTATCGGACGACTGCCCCAGGACGTGTATGAGCACCAGCTGATCCCCCTCTTCCAGCGCGTGGGGCGCCTCTACGAGTTCCGCCTGATGATGACCTTCAGTGGCTTGAACCGCGGCTTTGCCTACGCGCGCTACAGCTCGCGGCGCGGTGCCCAGGCCGCCATTGCTACGCTGCACAACCACCAGCTGCGCCCCTCCTGCCAGCTTCTGGTGTGCCGAAGCACCGAGAAGTGCGAGCTGACGGTGGACGGGCTGCCTCCCAGCTTGAACCGCCGCACCCTGCTGCTCGCCCTCCAGCCGCTGGGCCCCTGCCTGCAGGAGACATTGCTGCTGCCCAGCCCCGGGTTGGCGCCCTCTCAGATTGCGCTGCTCAAGTTCAGCACACACCGAGCCGCTGCCATGGCCAAAAAGGCCCTGGTAGAAGGTAGGGGTGGAAGCTGCGGGTGGGCGGCTGGCTTCGTTAAAAGCGTATCCCCAAATCTTAGAGTCAGACACATGCGTGGGGTTCACAAACTGCCGGCATGCAACAGTGCTACAATCACTATTTACCTAAATTGAAGCTCCCGCTTGTCTAAGTTCCTCCCATAGTTTGTATCCTATTTTGTTGTTGTTTTTTTTGAGACAGGGTTTCTTGCTTAGCCTTGGCTGTCCCGGAACTCGCTTTGTAGACCAGGCTGGCGTCAAACTCAGAGATCCACTTGCCTCTGCCTCCCGCTTGGATTAAAGGTTTGCGCCACCACCACCTGCCATTGCATCCTGTTTTAGGCCTCAGTATTTCCAGGGGGGGGGGAGAATTGGAGTTGTACACAAGAGTTCAGGTGAGCCTGCTTATCTTTGTAGTGCCTGCTTCCTCCTGTGAATGAAGCAGTGCTTCATTGATCAGCTTTCATTGATCAGAAAGGTTAGCTATTGTGACTGGTGACTAAGTAAATAAGGCCTGAATGTCCTGTACTGCCCCAGGGATAGATAATTAGATAGTATGTGTTGTTACAGTCCCTTTACAAATCAATGAAGTGGGGCTTGGGGAAGTTGTCACACCCCCAGGAAGTGGAGAGGCATTAAACATAGCCTGTGGCCGTCACTCCCCTTTACTGGCCAGCTCCTCAGTGCCCAGCTCCTCAGTGCCCGGCTCCAGTTCCCGTACTCAGATCTGCCCTTGTCTTCTGCCTCTTTCTTGCAGGGCAGTCACGCCTCTGTGGAGAACAGGTGGCTGTGGAGTGGCTCAAGCCTGACCTGAAGCAGCACTTCCGCCAGCAGCTTGCGGGTCCCTCGCTGCGGTTCCTCCGGCCGGAAGGCAGCCAGCTAGCCCAGAGCAGGGATAGGCTAGGGACCCAAGGGGCCCGGGCTGCTCTGCAGCTGCTGTGTCAGCGGATGAAGCTGGGCAGCCCCGTGTTCCTTACCAAGTGTTTAGGCACAGGGCCTGCTGGCTGGCATCGCTTTTGGTACCAGGTTGTGATCCCTGGACACCCAGTGCCTTTCAGTGGCCTCATCTGGGTTGTGCTGGCCTCTGAGTGGCAGGATGGGCACGAGGTGGCCAAGGATGCTGTGTCTGCACAGTTGCTGGAAACACTGAGTGAGTCCAGAACCAGCTTGTGGTCTCCTGGGGCTGAAGCAGGTATTGTGGTTAGGCAGTGACCCCTCCCCCTCCTCTCTACCCGCAGCCTAAATGGGTGGGCAGAACCTGTGCCATCCCCAGCCCAGCAGGCCTGGGCAGCCACTACTGGATCACAAAGAGACAGGGGCCTGGTTACAGCTTCCTTGCTGGAGAAGGACCCTGCCTGTCACACCTAAGTGCTACTTTAGTTGTGAGGAACTCTGCCCTTCCCCCATTGAGCCCAGGGTCTGATTGGACCTAGTATCCTTGGTCACTTCCCAGTTTGACAAAATTCACCATACCCACACAAAAAGTTGACTATGAATCTCTGTTTTTATTTAAGCCAAAGGCCCTTCCTCCGACCATGTGCCACTGATTTGGGCTTATGTGTCTTTTCTTCTGTGCTGGTTGTATTTATATTAAACCCCTGGTTGGTCTACACATGTCTGTCTCTGCTGTCTTACCGTAACAGTTTGTTGTACAGTGGTAGGGTGAGCAAATACTTTCCCACTTTGAGGCCATGAATTCATACAACAGAGTCCTGGAAATTCCTGTTGGGGGTTGGGGGGACCCATGGTAGAGCTAAGCTTATATTCAAGATGGTGGGTTCAATCCACGGCACCAAGAAACAGATTTCTTTAGGGGCTGTCCCAGAAAATATAGCTCCTTGTCCTGGCACTCTCCTCATGGCCTCAGCTCAGTCACTGTCGTCTTCGCTCTCCTTCAGCACCTCCTCCTCCTCCTCCTCTGGGGCCTTGGCATCCTCTCCATCTTCTCTCAGCCCTGCAAAGAAGTCGTCAGTGCTCCAGGCCTTACTGCTCAGGGCACGGAGTGGTCCTCCCTTTTTCTTGCGTCGCCGATAGTCGTCCACAACCACAGTTCGCAGCTGAGCCATGTTCCAAAATTTGAGTCGCTGGTCGTGGCCACTACTGGCCAGAAACTGGCCGCAGTGGGATAGGGATAGTGCCTCCACAGGCTCCCCAGCATGCTGGCCCACGGTACCTACCACTCGGTTTGGCAGGATGTTCACAGCCCTGGGCAGAGAAGAGTGTTAGGCACTGGCTTGGCTTGGCTTGGCCAGCTCCCTGGGCTCCAGGGCGGCAGTGGCTCCCCTTACCTGATGATGCCATCAGTGGAGCCAGTGCACAGCAGATTCTCGGTGACCGGAACCATGCAGTCGATGGACTCTGCTCTCAGGGCAAAGCGGTCACTTGTCGCCCCAAAACCATTCCAGTTGAAGAGGTAGATAGTACCTTCACTAGATCCACAGGCCACCTTCTTCCCGTACTGCAGGTTAACAAGGCAAACCATGTTTGTGGAGCCACTTCAGAATACACCCCCTGGCACACATACCCTATCCCATCATACCCAGCTGTACTTTCATGAGGGTGACGGAGGTCAGATCGCCTGACTGGGGCTCCGAGAGTAACTCCAAACGGCGCCTCTTGATGTTGAAGACACCAAGGCAGCCATCCCCACTGTAGAGAGCAAACAGATTGAACGGGAAGCTCCATTTGAGGAAGACTATAATACCCAGTGGGTACCTACATCACCAAGAGGTCTCGAGGGAGGAAAAGAGCAGGGAGTCCGTTTAAGGTTGTACCTGGCTGTCAGCAGCAGCTTTTTGGCTGGGTCTAGAGCCATGTCAGCGATGTACTCCTCATGCTGCCGCATATCCATTAAAGGGCCCTCTTTTCGCTGGTCCCAGAGCCGGATGCCACCTGTGTCATCCCCAGTGACTAGAACATTCTCATCCACAAGCAGCAGGCTATTAATGGGGGCACTGGAGAAACAGAGAATATGAATTTGTTCTAATGGAGACCCCTCAGTCCTTACCCCTCACCAGGTACACGTACATCTGATTTTTCTTACCTGTGAGCCTTGGAAATGCGTCTTTCCAACTGTCCCTGTTCGACGTCTAATACATGGATTGCTTTGTCCTTAGAGACAGTGACAAGTTCTAGGGGGAAAGGCCCAGCTTATGGTGTGATCACTGCCTTCTCCCCGTACCACACTGCTGGCTGCCTGCCCCCGTACTCACTCTGCCCATCCTCTGAGAAGACGACGGCTCTGCAGGACTTGAGGTGGTGCCCCGAGGACCAGACTTCCTTGGTTTCTCCCTCCTGACAAGAGTATGAAAAGCTGAGGAAAGGAAGAGAGTGAATCATCCCATACCACACCTGCAATGCACAGGGCACAAAAATCCAACCTTCCCATGTAGATAAGAGTACTCCCAAGACCAAAGAGCCTACCATTCTTGTTTATCAATTTTCTTTGTAGTATTGGAAATGGAAATTCACACATGCTAGGTAAATAGCCTGCAACTGAGC